TTGTCCATTTTTTTTTAAATTGTATTGTTTATTTTTGTTTTGTTAAGTTGTATGAGTTCCCTGTAAATTTCGAAGATGAAACTCTTATCAGAGATAACATTGTCAAATATGTTCTCCCATGCATTGGGCTTTCTTGTTGTTTTGATGGGATGGTTTCTTTTGCTGTGCAGAAGGTTTTTATGTTAATGCAGTCCCATTTGCCAGGTACCTGCTCCTGACTGGGGATTGAATCTGAGACCCTTTTTGTGCATGGTGTGTTCTAACCACTGAGTCACACTGGCCACGGCCTTAAGTGAGGGGTGTGTGTGCTTGTGTGTGTAATTTAATGAAAAGTGCTTAGAACAGTGCCTGGTTTATAAGCTTGGCTTCCCCTAAAATGGAAGGAAACTCTCAGATTCCTTTGAACTAGATTGTAAGCCAGACGTGGCTGCAGTGATTTTGCTGGACTGAGCTATCAGTACATCCCATTTCCACCCTATGGAACGCAAGGTTGATAACGTTTTAAGTGGAAAATTACCATTCCTATGTTCTGACTTAGCTTTCCCATCACGTTCCAAGTCTGTCAACTAACCAAGTAGATAACATTAACGGTAGAGAATCAAGAGCACAGTCATCTGTGTGCATTTTAATGCCCGGAAACATGATCTTGTATGAAATGTTTGTCATTGCAGAGAGTGAACAAAGCGGGTGGGGAAAGTGGTCCCCAGACAACACTTTTTTTGAAAAAAAAAATGAACTAGATAATGAGACATCCACAAGACTGAGCTGTTTCATGGTAGAAAAGAATTTAAGAATAAAAAAAATCATGACTTTGACCCTCACTTGGCAAAGAGGCTGAGCTCAAACTTCGATTCCAAAAGAAGTTTTCTTCCAGGGGAACCTCGGAGCTGGGCGTCTGCAATGTGTGCGCTTTCCCGGGACGGAGGGCGGGCTGCTCTCGGGGGGGTGAGGCAGAGGAGGTGGGAGGGAGGCCCTCGGTCCCGGGCTGAGATCTGGCCGTGAGAGGGAGGCGGAGGCAGGACATGGAGGGAAAGGCCGGCGTCTGGGAGGGCGCGTGGCAGCGCAGGGCTCCGTGATGCCAACTCCTCTCCTTTCGTCCCCACGGGCTCGGCTCCGGTCGGGGACCGTCAACCCCGAACGGGCCCTCCCTGCCCTTTACCTCTCGGGACACAGCCCTCCCGACGCCTCGGCCCAGACCAGCGCCTCTCGGCCCCGGTGCGCGGGTTGGGGTTTCGCCTGGCGACCGACGGAAGCGGAAGCAACGCGGGACGGACGGTGATGCGCCTGCGCAGCCGGGCACGGAGCCGCCATATTTCC